GGGCAACTTCTCCTGCCCTTTGTCCTTTCACTGAGCAGGTGCCCACCCTTTGACCTCCTTTCAAGGCAGGAATAAGACTGGATTAGTCAGTTTTGTCTCTTAGCTGGTGGCGGGTGAATTCTGAACGTTCTTAAGTGGCAATATGTTTCTCTGGGACATGACTGATCAAGGAATTTGCATGTTATACTTTTTATCTGTGATTATGGAATGAAAGGTTTACACCCCTTGAAAGAACATCAAACGTCATTGGCTGTAGGTGGGCCTCTGTGCCGTCGTTACAGAACGAACACTCTGACACCAGATGCATGGGGTTCCCCCACCCACCAAACGGTTCTCCAGCTCTCCAGGCCCCAGCTGGGTATCCAGCAATTCAGTTCAGTTCCGACCCAAACTACCTGGAGTCTGGCAGACCGTACAGGCTGAGGGCTCAGTGCCACAGACCACCCCCATTTCAGATACCAAGTCTCTTACTTCTGACTGTCCAGCTATAAATCGGGGATTCCCATGACCTCCTCCTCAGGTTCTTTAATTTGCTAGAATGGCTCACAGAGCTCAGGAAAACACTTTACTTCCACTGACTGATTTGTTATAAAGGATATGATAAAAGATACAGATGGATAGCCAGATGAAGAAGTACATAGGGTGAGGTCCGGAAGGGTCACGAGTGTAGGGGCTTCTGTCCCTGTGGTGTTGGGGTGCATGACCCTCATGGCACATGGATGCACTCACCTACCCAGAAGCCCTCCCAACCCCATAGCTTGAGGTTTTTATGGAGGTTCTATTATGGAGGCATGATCAATTAACTCTTGGCCATTGGTGGTTAACTCAGCCTCCAGCTCCTCCTGGAGGGAGGAGGGGAAGGCAATCACGTGGTTGGCTCCTTCAGGCACCCAGCCCCCATCTAGAAGCTACCTCGGGGCCCACCATGTGCTACCTCATTGGCATAAACTCAGGTCTGGTTTAAGGGGGCTCGTGGTGAATAACAAAAGACACTCCTCTCACTCGTCATCACTCACCTTTCTCAGGAAAACAAGCTTTAGGAGCTCTGTCTGAGGAACTGGGATGAAGACCACATATATTTTTCTTATCGTATTGCAATATCACGGGGAGGTTTGAGGAAAAGCGTGGAGGGCACCTCTTCCAGAAATCACAGGCTGTGGTTGGTTAGGACTTAGCCAGCTGCCTATAACAGCCCACAATAACAGTGGCTTAAACTCATGAGGGTTTGTTTTTCTCTTACATTAAAAAAAATCTGGAAGAAGGCAGTCCAGGGTTGACACAGTGGTCCCACGAACATTCTGGACCGGCCTCCTCCCATCTTTCTGCTCCACCATCCTTAGCAGGAAACATCGTCCTCAAGTCACTTCATGGTCTAAGATGGCTGCTGGAGCTCTGGCCGTCATGCCCCCATTCCAGTTAACAAAAAGGAAGAAGTGAGGGGGGGTTGCAAAGAAGGGTCTTCCAGAGGCACCACCCAACTCCTTCTGCAAGGGAGGTTGAGAAATGTGTTATCAGCCGGGCACGTTGCCCCGTGTCCGGTTGGTGAAGAAGCGGGTGGGTGTTGGGTAGATGCCCAGAAGTCTACCACGTGTGACTTCCTAGTAAGAGGGGCTGGAAGACCTGGACTGGTCCTGCTGGGTGACTATCAGCAGGGTGCTGAGAGGGCTGGGGCGGCAGGCCTCGCCTCCCCCACCCCCAGGCCTGGAGACTGTGCCAGGCTGAGGCCTCGTCCATCCCACGGGCTGTTCCGGGGGGTCACTGCAGCATATGTTTTTTTTTTTTTTTTTTACATTGGCCTATTTATGCCAAGAACCAAATCCCCCCCTGCGTGCGTGTAGTTCTGCCCAGTGGTTTCCTTCCCCTGTGTTTTCCTCTCACCTTCCTGACCTGGCTCAGGCCACACCCCTTCCCACCCTCCACATCCTCCCCACCCTGGATTATTCACACCTGAGGCCATGCCTCACCTTTCTGCCCAGGGCCTGCTGAGGCCTCACGGCCTGAGTCCCCGATTCCCACAGACTCTCTAGACCCCAGGCCCGTCGCAGAGATGAAGGTCAGGATACTGCTGCCCAGGGGACCCCAGAAGGGAGGAAGGCATAAGAGGAAGCCAGCTGTTGGGCGGGTTTATGTCAGGGTCCGATGCGGGTCGGGACAGGAACACAGCATCGTCTCCTGCTGGGACTGACATGCAGCTAAGGCGGGGCCTCTCCTGTCTCGTGCCAGCCCTGAGGACTCTGTGGAATCTTGGCGCTCGCCTTCTCAGGGGAAGACAGCCAGCAAACCCGGACAACGTTCTTGTTGCCCGCCGCACGGATGCCCCGGCACCGTGTCATGCCCTCAGCGTGGACGTTCTGTGAGAGTGTCGTTAATGTGGTACCAGTTCCTGCTCCGTGGCACCAGGGTGATTGTCACGCATCCTCTGTCTTCCTAGTCAGCTGTCCTGAGCAGAATGGGCATTTCTAGTCACCACTTTAAAAAAGGGAAAGGGGGGGGAGGGATAAATTAGGAGTTTGGGATTAACAGATGCACACTACTATGTATAAAATGGATAAACAACAAGGACCTACTGTATAGCACAGGGAACCATAGTCAATATCTTGTAATAACCTATAATGGAAAAGAATCTGAAAAAGAATATATATATATATACATATATAATTGAATCACTTTGCTGTACACAACACGAAGTTATGTACAACTGAAACTAACACAACATTGTAAATCAACTATACTTCCATCAAAAATAAAATAAATAAAACAATTTTAAAAATTAAAAAGAGGAGAAGCTCAGGAGGATAAACGAAGCTCGGTTACGAAGGGGCTCACGTGCCTGGGCAAGGCGTTTGACCTTCACCGTGGCTGCCCACCATCGGCTCCCAACTGCCGGGACCCATCCCTCGCCCGTATGAGGGGACCCTTTCCATTTCCTACGTATTAGGACCTGACACGGAACTGCCTAGGTGGGTTTTTTGTTCAGCCCTTGGGCCAGCCTTGGTCTAAGAAAGCCAGTCCCAGAAAAGTGTTCCCGTCTGCCGAGATGCCCAGGGCAGGAGGAGTGAAGGTCAAAGGGGGAGAGGCGCCCAGTGCCCTGAGGCTCCCCAATAAGTGGAGGTCCGTTATCAAGAGAAGCCAAGCGGGCTTTCCTGGTGGCGCAGTGGTTGAGAGTCCGCCTGCCGATGCAGGGGACGCGGGTTCGTGCCCCGGTCCGGGAGGATCCCACGTGCCGCGGAGCGGCTGGGCCCGTGAGCCGTGGCCGCTGAGCCTGCGCGTCCGGAGCCTGTGCTCCGCAACGGGAGAGGCCACAACAGTGAGAGGCCCACATACCGCAAAAAAAAAAAAAAATCCAAGGAGCGGGGAATTTGATGGGTGTCTCTGGGAGAGGGGTAGAGAGTTTCAGCTGATGCTGCTCGAATCCGGGCTGTTCAGCACCGGCCAACCAGCTCTGGAAACAACGCCCTCTGGGTCCCCCACTAATACAACAAAGTCAAGCAAACAGCAGCTCCCAGCGCTAATGATGCCATAATCCCCAGATGACACCATTAAAGCATCCTAAGATACGCAGGTGGAGAGATAGAGGATGTTAGAGGATGTTCCTCGTCATGGAGACTAAAGGGAAGAGCAGGTTTCAAGGAGAAAGTGGTCAACAGCACCCCCGGGAGTGTGGCCCCGGCCTGCTCTAAGTTTACAGGGGTCAGAAATGGGGGCGGGGCGTTCACAGGGTCAGAAATGGGGCGGGGCCGGCAGCGGGTCAGCAGGGCGTGCGTTACCCGTTAAAACCATTAGCTGGTAAAAGAAAAGTGTGACGGGTCAAGAGAAGACTTTGCTCTCTGTGTGTTTTGGGGGGTAGGGAGACCTGGGGTGCGGGGAACACTCCTGCAGCACTTTGTTGGGCGTTGAAGGGGCCACGAGGGGACTTTTCTCTCTCGTGTCTGTGAGCGGCCACCAGATGGCGTCCTGATTCCTCATAGTAATCCCTGTTTCAGGGACTTTCTTGTCAAAATAGACGTAACATTAACATCTAAACATGTGACAATTACCTGGAAGACACACCAAGTGAAAGGCCCCCAAAGCAAAGCAATTAGGCCCTAAGTTGGAATACTGTAAATTGGAAATGTTCGGCCATCTACTAAACAAAAGACAGGGCCCTTCTGTTCACAGCCGTCTCTAACCCCGGTCTTGGCTTTCACTCCTCCGAGGGGCAGCCTTTCTGCTCCCAGCTCACACCCCGGTCCACACCCGGCAGGGCCCCTGTGGCGATGTCCAGACTCTAACAAGGAGGCTGCCTGCCCCCCTGAATCCCAGCCTCATCAGTGAGGAGCGCAAGCCATTGTGTAACAGCCTCAGCATAGTTGACGCAGAACTGAATACGTACTTCTCCAGCTACAGAATTGAGTCAAGTTGCAGGGAAAAAGGGAAAGCTCTGGCTAGTTTCTTCTCAGCACGTTTGAATCAGAGGTGACAGAGAGGTGGATGAGGCCAGAGAGGAAGGCGGGGAGGGGGTCTTTGGTGCAGAGGCTCAGCCCTAGAGAGGGACAGCGCCGGGCAGGACCACGGGCCCCTGAGGGCCCCCCAAGAGCATGTGGGAAGCGGGGCCGGGAGGCCGAGGGGGAGGCTGGGGGTTGGCCGGAGCTGAGGCTGAGCTGAGGGGTGTCTGGCACACCCACTGCAGGAGGTCACCCGGGACAGGGTCTGCGGGGACGGAACCAGGACCAGCTGGATAGCAGGAGACCCGGCCGCTTCAGGGGCCTCGGTCTCCTCCCAGGGTGCCCTGCCCTGTAGTCTCTGAAGAGTGAAGCTTTGCAGGGCGGGTGGGGCCTGGGAATCAGACAGTTAAAGACCCTGGTGGCAATGGGCCTGATCTGCCCCTTGTCCTGACCCTCATCCGGGAACTCCCAGCCAGATTCTCCAGAGCCAGGCTCCTGCGAGGTGCAGGGCCATGGCTGCTGAAGGAACAGGTAAGTCCGTGAGCTGTTCTTTTGTGTTTGTTCTTTTGGCCACAGGAATCTCCTACCAGCGACTGGTGAGGGCTGAGCAGGGCCTGTCCACTAGGAGTCATCGCAGCTCCACTGTGTGAGTGCTCTTGGGGAGGGAGGAGTTTGGGGGGTGGGGTCATGTTTTGTGCACAGCCTCTTTTTTCAGGGCTAAGCGTCTTTCATCAGATTCCTAATTGGGTCTGAGTCTTTTAGAGAAAAAAAGAAATGGAAAAGGTTAAAACCACCTGCCTTGGGCTTCCCTGGTGGCGCAGTGGTTGAGAGTCCGCCTGCCGATGCAGGAGACACGGGTTCGCGCCCCGGTCCGGGAAGATCCCACATGCCGCGGAGCGGCTGGGCCCGTGAGCCATGGCCGCTGAGCCTGCGCGTCCGGAGCCTGTGCTCCGCAACGGGAGAGGCCACAACAGTGAGAGGCCCACGTAACGCAAAAAAAAAAAAAACAACAACAAAAAAACCACCTGCCTTGATTGTGCCAGGTGCTGAGCGAACATACATTACCTTACTTTACCCCCAATTTTCAGATGAGGAAACTGAAGGTCAGAGAGGCCAAGTAACTTCCCCAAGGACACTCAGATAGTGTCTGAGTCAGGATTTGAGCCTTAGACTTCCTCAAAAGCCAAGGCTCTTTCCATAATGTCTTTCTGCCTGTTAGTAAAACAGCGTTTTTCCAAACTTTTTTGACTGGGACCTACAATAAAAAATGCATTTTATATGGAAGCCTGGTGTGTACACACACACACACACACACACACACACACACACACACACCCCACACACACACACAGCTGAGACAAGTTTTAGGAAATGAAAGTCACCTTCTCCCAAGGATGAGCTCTGATCTCTTCTAGTCCATTTCACTTAAAAGGCTGTTCTGGTTGTGAATCCCTGAAGTGATTTAGTTACCCACTCTTGGGTCCCCGCCTTTTGGAAAAGCATTAGAGAGGAAGCCTCCATTCCAAGGACCCTCCGGCAAGCCTCCCAGCACGTGGGTGCCTGAAGACCCCAGCCTCCACCAGCTCAGAAGTTCTAGTCACCCCACCCCCCCATCCTCAGTCTGAGGGTTTCACAGCACATTCACTGAGCAAACGTTGGTTGAGTTCCTTCTCGGTAAAAACAAACAGAAAAGCTAGTGGTAGATTTTGAGAGAGACAGAAAGGGCATAAAAAATGTCTTGTAAATGTTGGCTTAGTAAGGAAGCAGGACCCTGCCAGAGGGCTGAGGCAGGTGAACGGTGGATTCTCGCCAACACCCTTCTAGGTACTTCCTGAGCCCCGGGCACTGTTGCAGGCATCACTCCATCATACAGGCCTTTTGTTAACCCTGTGAGAAAGGTAGTTTTTAGATCAGGAAACTGAGGCACGGACAGGTTCGTAGAAAGAGCTATGAGCAGAGAGTAGGTCTCACTTTGGTTTTCTGTAGGTTGGGAACAGGCGTGCAGAGGAGGTGCAAGTGGTGAGGGCCCGGGTGTGGCTGGCCTGGTCCTGTATACAGTGGAGCTCAATGCATGTCCATGAGGGTATGATCCAGCAGTCGGTGAAGGAGGAGGGCTCAGTGAGGGACCGTTTACTTGAGCCCGATCCCTTTTTCTTACAAATAGAGAAATCAAAATGAGATCCTTCCTAAACCCTGGGAACTCTGACAGAGCCTGGTCCCATTCCTGAACCCTGGCCACCGGGCCGGCTCTGGGACCTCTGTCCACAGCCACTGGCAGGAAGGCCACCTGCCTGGTGCTTCTTGGCACTGGGTTTAAACACAGCACAGATTTGTGAGAGAACGAGAGCAAGTGTGAGCAGTTCATACTAAAAGCCTTTACAGGTATAATACCGCGATGGCTGGAATACCTTCGAGAAAATGCAGTGATGGGGGTTGGCCGGGGTGAAATGCGAACAGACGTATGTTAACTGTTAACTGAGTGATGGATCCTCAGGGTTCACGATTCTCTTAACATTTGTGTATGTTTGAAATTTTCCGTGATGAAGACATTTAAACACTGGGATCAAGAGGGAGCCCAGGGTCCAGGGGAAGAGGAGGCGGGGGTGGGGCGTGGCTGGATGCACCCTCCCTCCCCCAGCCCGATGCTGGCCTGCATGAGGGCTTTGGCAAGTTAGAAAGGGCATCCCCTGTAAGCCGAGGAATCAGATGCGGCCCTGACTTCGCTCTCCTTCCTCCTGGCAGATGCCACCCCACACCCCGACCCTTGGCTTGAGGAGCAGGGCTCGGGCTGAAATTTCAGGCCACACCACACGACGGCATGTGGCTGTCCCGCTGTCCCCTCCCAAAATGACCGCCTGACTTCCAGTCAGCTCACCTAAAATACAATCCTTTTCTGCGTCATCTCGCAGTAGGAAAAATGTTTTATGTAAAAATTAAGGTAGAATTTATTTGTGAAAATTAGGTTCAGTTTTTTAAGATTTTTTTGATGTGGACCATTTTTAAAGTCTTTATTGAATTTGTTACAGTATTGCTTCTGTGTTTTTTTTTGGGCGGGGGACGGGTTTTGGCCCCAAGGCATGTGGGATCTTAGCTCCCTGACCAGGGATCGAACCCTCACCCCTGCACTGGGAGGAGAAGTCTTAACCACTGGACCGCCAGGGAAGTCCCGAGTTCAATTTTTAAAAGGTCTTTGAAGACCTCAGCTGAAAACTACTCAAAAGTAAATCATAAGCTTTTCCCTTGGAACTGGGACCCCTGAGCCCCCAACCTCTCTCCTGGCCTCCGGGCCCACGTGGGCTCTGTGGCTGCCCTTCCCCGCCCCCGCGCCCAGTACCCATGGCCGGTCCTCTGTGTCCCCCAGCACCGTACTGTTGCTGAACCCGGTGGAGGTGCAGGCCGAGTTCCTCACCGTGGCCGACAAGCTGAGCACGCCTGGGCACTCCCCGCACAGCGCCTACACCACCCTGCTCCTGCACGCCTTCCAGGCCACCTTTGGGGCCCACTGCGACCTCCCAGGTCTGCACTGCCAGCTGCAGGTATGTGTCTGGGACCCTGGGCTCAGCACCGCCCCCTCCCGGCAGAGCACCTCTCTGCAAAGGCAGGGTCCCCTCTCTGGTCCCTCTCCGCGGCCCGGGTCCATTGGCCTCCCTCGCCCCGAGTGACGTGGCGGGGAAGTCGCTGGAGGGCTGGCCTCATTGATTGGGAGGTTTCTATTGTGCTGGGTCCTAACCCAGGTGGGTGGCACCCTAGACAGTGGGGCTGGACACAGCCTCCGAATCCAGCGTGGGCTGGGTGGTACAGGACTGAGCTTTAGACTGAAGCTGGAAGCCCTGGGGTCTAGTCCGAGCTCTGTGACAGGTCAGCTGTGTGGCCCTGGGCAGCGCCCTCCCCTCTCTGGGCCACAGCGGTGAGCTCTGAAGTCCCTCCCAACTCTGCAGGGCTCTGGCTCTGGGCCTTTCTTTCTGACCACTTCTGGAGAATAGGGACTGAGTGAGAGGCCTGGCTCCCTGCTCAGCCGTGGGTGGTGGCAGGCGATGAGGCTGGGGACGGACTGGTCACCGGGAGCTCGAGAAGTCGGGCGGCCGAGCTGTGGTTCGGGAGCAAGCCTGCCTCCCCCTGGGTTTCAGTCCAAGACCCTGGCAGAGCTCGAGGACATCTTCACGGAGACGGCCGAAGCACAGGAACTGGCATCTGGCATCGGGGATGCAGCAGAGGCCCGGCAGTGGCTCAGAACCAAGCTGCAGGCGGTGGGGGAGAAAGCCGGCTTCCCTGGGGCCTTAGGTGAGGCTCTGGGGGGTGAGGCCCATTTCCCCTGTGGCCCTGGTAGCCCCCCAGGTGAGCAGCCCCGGTCGGCCTGGTGCTTCTGTTTCACATAATCATTCAGGGACCCAGGTTCTCTGACACCTCCTGGCTCCAGCATCCCCGAGGGTGCAGCTCCCGTCTGCAGGGTTAGGGTTGGGCTGCCAAGATCGCCACTGGGGCGGCCTGGGGGAGGAGGAAAAGAGTGCTGATCAAGGGCAAGGGGCTTCGTTTTCACAATGAAGACAGCGTACCCCTTTGAGCCACCTCAGTCACATGGCCCACCTTGTCCCGGTGGGTCTGGGAAACGTCTACTGTAGAAGGAGGGATGCCTGATGAGACGGCGCCGTGGTCCTCCTGTTCGAACCAGAGGCGCGGAGGCTGAGACTGGGCCACATTCGTGCAGCTCACGAAAGGGCATCTGCCTGCTGGGCTCGAGAGAAGCCCTCTGGCCGCGGGCCAGGCATCCCAGCTTCCACCTCAGCCTCGGCCCACCCGGCTGCGTGTCCTGTACCGGTCCTCTCCCAACTCTGGCCTCTCCTCCAAGACGGGGGGTCTGGGCTGGCCCATCTCAAGGCCTCTACCCAGCCCTCACCTCCTGCCCCTCCCTCCCTCGTTCCTGCAGACACTGCACAACCTGGCAAGCTCCGTACCATCCCCATCCCTGTCGCCAGGTGCTACACCTACAGCTGGAGCCAGGACAGCTTCGGTAAGCAGCCCGCTGGGGCCCTCGTGGTGCCCACCCCCCAGACTGCCCGGGCTCTCTTCCTCTGCAGCTGCCCCTCACCCCACCCCCCTGCCAGCCCTCCCACCTGAGCAGGCTCTGAGCAGAGCAGGGGGCAGGGCACTGGGCTGCCCTCTGCCCTCCTTCTGCCCTCTGCTCCCCAAGTTCATCCTGTCTCAGCCTGTCACCCCGCCCAAGGGTGTGCAAGAGGGGTTCCAAGGGCTCGGACACCCAGACGGCGTCTCCCCTTGCTTGCCTGCAGACATCCTGCAGGAGATCCTGCTCAAGGAACAGGAGCTGCTCCAACCGGGAATCCTGGGGGACGAGGAGGACGTGGAGACCGAGGGGCATCATGCCGAGAGGGACTCGCTGCTCTCCACCAGCTCGGCAGCCTTGCACGACTCCACCCTGTCCCTTGCCTCGTCCCAGGCCTCGGGACCCAGCCTCTCCCACCAGCTGCTGAGCTCCTTCGTCTCGGGCCTCTCTGACGGCATGGACAGCGGCTACGTGGAGGACAGCCAGGACGGCTCGTTCGAGTGGCCCAAGAGGCCTGGCAGCCAGGAGCGCCGGGCCCACCGCAGGCCCGGGCAGTTCAACAGGATCTATAAACTCTTCAAGAGCACCAGCCAGCTGGTGCTGCGCAGGGACTCCCGGACCCCGGAGGGCGGCCCGGACGGCGCCCCGCCCCTGCGGCGGGCCGGCAGCCTCTGCAGCCCCTGCAGCCCCCTGGCCGGCCCGGCGCAGTCCCGGGCCCAGCGTTCCCGCTCCCTGCCCCAGCACAAGCTCGGCTCCCAGCTGCCCGGCTGGGCCCTGGCCCCCGCCTCCCGTCACCAGCGCCGCTGCCCCTTCCTGAGCGGGGACGAGGACCCCGGGGCCTCCACGCTGCGAGTCGTGGTCTTCGGCTCCGATCGGATCTCGGGGAAGGTGGCCCGGGCGTACAGCAAGCTGCGGTGAGAGCCGAGACGGGGCATCGGTCTGCCCTGGGCAGCAGGGGCGGCGTGCCAGCAGGCGGCCTCTGGGCTCCCAGAGGGACCAAGGGCCTCCCTTCTCACCATCTTCCTCTCGGCAGGCGGCTGGAGAGCAACCGTCCGCTCCTCACGCGGTTCTTCAAGCTTCAGTTCTTCTACGTGCCCGTGAAGCGGAGCTGCGGGCCCAGCGCCAGCCCAGCCCCTCGGACCCAGACGCCGCCGCTCCCCACAGACTCCCCGAGGCACCCCGGCCCTGCGGTAGGTCCCCGGCCCTGGGCCCAGCAGGGCGGCAAAGCGAGGAGATGTAAGCAGGCCCCAGGCACCGGAAGGGGGTGTGTAGGGGCTGCCGCCTCCTGCCTGGGCCTCCGTCCCGGGCGTGGTCCCTGCCCTGCACTTGGCCCGACGGTGGGCGGGGGCACGTTTTGCTGTGTGACATGGACTGAGAGTTGTCAGACCTCTCCAAGGGCGCAGAGAAGCTCAGGGTGGGGCTGCAGGTGCCACCCAGGGCCCCGAAGCTAGGGTGGCAGGCGTCCGGGTGGCCGGGAATGACTCTCGCCCCCGCCCCAGGAGCTGGGTGCAGCCCCCTGGGAGGAAAGCACCAATGACATCTCGCACTACCTCGGCATGCTCGACCCCTGGTATGAGCGCAACGTGCTGGGCCTCATGCACCTGCCCCCTGAAGTCCTGTGCCAGGTAAGCGGCCGCTTTCCTGGGTGCAGGTGGAGGGCCCTGTCGGTGGTCACCCAGCCTCGCTTTGAAGGCCCTAGTTTGGGACATCCAGCTTGCGGCCCCACTGGAGGACCAGGGCTCACGTGGGACCGAGCAAGGAGGGTGGGTGGAAGCAGGGCTGAGCTGAACCCAGGGCTCGGGGGCCCAGGGAGGGGTCACCACACCGAGAGGGAGGGGCCCTAGAGGGTCCAGTTGCCTTAGGCTTCAGCTCCCTTCCTCAACTCCCAGCTTTGTCTAGCTCGGCCGGAGCCTCCCTGGAGGCCCATGGGCCAGTGAGGGAGGGGCGGAGGCCAGGCTGTGGGTCCTCCCTTGACCATTCTGTTTCCTGCTCCCGTCTCACCGTGCCCCTCCCTGGCCCTGTCTGCCTCGGGATCTCTCCTCTGTGTGTCTGCACGTCTGTCTCTCTTCCTCTCATCCTCCCTTTCTCTCTCCCTCTCTGTCCACCTGTCCCTCGGGCTCGGGCTCGGCCCTCCCAACCCACAGCAGTCCCTGAAGGCTGAGTCCCGGCCCCTGGAGGGCTCTCCTGCCCAGCTGCCCATCCTGGCGGACATGCTGCTCTATTACTGCCGCTTCGCTGCCCGGCCGGTGCTGCTGCAGGTCTATCAGACCGAGGTAAGGCCTGCCCTGCCGCCTGGCCCCACCTCTTCCCCCAGACTAGCTGCAGGGCTGCTCCCACACCCGGGCAGCCAGCAGCCCTGTGCTGGAGGAGCCTGTGCCGGGGGCCCCTCCTGGAGGTCCACGCTGACGCCCACGCTCCTGCCCTCTCCAGCTGACCTTCATCACCGGGGAGAAGACGACAGAGATCTTCATCCACTCCCTGGAGCTGGGTCACTCTGCTGCCACACGCGCCATCAAGGCTTCGGGTGGGCTGAGCCCCAGTGGAGGCGGAGCTGGGGGCTGACACAGCGGAGAGGGCGCCCTGGGGAGGAGGGGTCCCAGGGCGGTGGGGCAGGAGGGACAAGAAGCGGGCAGGGAGGCAGAGCCCAGGGTCTGTGAAGGGCACTGGAATTAGAAGGAGCAGAGGGTCTGTCTGTGTGTGGCACAGGTCCTGGCAGCAAGCGGCTGGGCATCGATGGTGACCGGGAGGCCATCCCTCTAACACTACAGATTATTTACAGCAAGGTGAGACTGATGCGGGCCCCGCCCCTCTGGGACCTGCTCCCCATGCCGCCTCCCCAGAGCCAGCCCCCTGTGTTCCCCAGGTGGTCTTTAGGCTGGAAGGCCGCGGCAGGCTCCCCAGGCTCTCCTGGATGCTGAGAGAAGGGGGAAGGAGAGGCGGTGGACCTCCCTCTCCCGCTCTGCCTCCAAAGCTGCCCCCGCCCCGGGGTTCTCCCCACTGCTGAACGTGCTCAGCCCTTCTGTGAAGCGCTGGGGCCTGGCCTCAGGGCTGGGGGTGAGAATGGGGCAGAGTGAGGAACAGGGCAGGGACTGCTGTGCCTGGTGGGGGGAGCTGGGGGGGTAGCCCATGAGCACACCCCGGCTCTGGGCCACGACAGGCCCACCTCCCGGACGGGCAGCCTCCTACCTTCTTCCCTGCCTCCCTCCCTCCCTCAGCAATTTGAAAGGTATTTATTGAGCACCTACTCATGTCAGGTTCTGTGCGGGGCCAGGCCCTCCCTCTTAACTTCTCTCGAGGAGGGAGACAGACAGTAAACAAGGAGACAAAAAGTGCCCAAGGTGATATTAAAGAGTGGCAAGCGATGACAAGGCAACGAAAGGGCTGGTGGGATAGAGACGATAGGATTCTTTCCATGTAGTGGCCGAGGAGGTGGGCAGGGGCACTGACACTCGCTGGCTGCTGTGTTCCGGGTGTTTGTTAAACACCCACTGCGTCCCGGGTGTTGTTCATGGCACAGGAGCGTTCACGAGAGTGAGCGAAGCTCTTACAGTCTGGAGGGGTTAGATGATGCCACAACATGTATAATTACAACTGTGACGAACAGATGAGGGAGAGGTAAAGGGTTCTGTGAGAACCCTTAAGGGGATTGTTCAACCCAGTGAGGAAAGTTAGACAAGGTTCCTTAAGGAGGGCCATCGAGTCAATGTTGGAAAGAAAACCAGGAGTTAGTTAAGTAGGAAAAGAAGAGAGACGTGCCCTCCAGGTAGAGGTGATAGCATGCGCAAAGGCCCTGTGGTGAGGGAGAACATGAACATCAAAGGGCACACTGTAGGAGGACCAGAGGGGCTGGAGCAGAGACAGTGTTGGGGGGAAAGGATGATGAGGTGAAGCTAAAGAAATGGGCAGGGCTGGAATGCCAAGGGCCTTGGTTCAATGAGAGGAGTTTTGTCCTCGTCCTAAGAGCAATGGGTATCCTGTGAAGGGCTTTCAGTTTGGGGTGTGGCAGGATCAGATTTGAGGTTTGGAAGCCCCCTGTGGTGGTTCTGTGGGGAATATCAGAGTGGACCCCAGCGGGTGTGGGAAAGCCAAGTCAGAGGCTCCCGTGGTTGTCCAGGCGAGAGACATGGGCAGCCTGCACTAGGGAGGAAGGGAATGGGGGTTATATGTGACTCACACGAGCAGCAGGGCTTAGGGGTGGATCAGAAAAGGAGAGGCTCCAACTCCTGGATTTCAGCCTTCTGCGACTGACAGGACCATTTTCTCAGAAGAAGCCCAGCTCCAGTGGGGGAGTGGGTGTGGGGCACAGTGGGTTCGAGAGGGAAGGAGAGACCAGAACAGGCAGTGGGAGGGTGGGCCTGAGCTCAGAGGTGAAATGTGGAGATGGGTGTGTAGGTGGTCATGGAGAAAGGGCCACGGGTGAGGCCCCCTCAAGGAGAAAGTAGGAATAACAGAGCGGAGGCCCCAGGAGAAGCTCCTGACACCTGCGTCCTGTGATGGGGGCAGAGGAGGGTGATCGCGCAAAGCAGAGGCCCCAGCCAGGCTGGCGGTGGGGAAGCCAGGAGCGTGCCGCCGCGGCCGCCCAGGAGAGGGGAGGAGTGAACGGGATGCATTCTCCTGTAAGGCCAGGCGAGCCGAGGACTGAGGGTGCTTGTGGGTTTGGCAACGTGGAGGTCCCTGATGAGAGAGACATTCAGACAGAGACCCAAAGAGGGGGCTCCGGCCCAGCTCTGCCTGGGATCCCCTGCCCGTGAGCCTGTCTCTCCCTCACTCGGGGTTCAGAAGATCCTCAGACCACCCCTCGAGACGTTGTCAGCACTCGCACCCTACGACCCAGTCGCCAGGCTGACCTGTGGACCAAGCCAGTGACCTGATGCTCCTCCCTGGAGCCAGTGAGGTCTATATAGGGGTCAAGGGGCTCTTGGTGAAGAACCCGGCAGGCTCGGGTGAATGAGAGCGAGCTTCCTGGGTGTGCTGGCTGCAGGCGGCGCCCTGTCGCTGGCCGGCCTGGACCCGCTTCTTCAAAGAGAAGGCAGGAGGCACTGGGGGGCGGGCATGCCGCTGAGAGGGTCTGGCTTTGCTGCCTCCCCAGGGGGCCATCAGTGGACGCAGTCGCTGGAGTAACATGGAGAAGGTCTGCACCTCCGTCAACCTTAGCAAGGCCTGCCGGCAGCAGGAGGACCTGGGTGAGGGGGCAGGGGGAGGGGGAGGGGAGGGGAGGGGGACAGGAAGGTGGAGGGGAGGAGGGGGAGGGGGCGTGGGTTCCTGAGCCTGGCCTGAGCCACCCTTGCCCTTCAGACTCCAGCACGGAGGCCCTGACGCTAAACCTGACAGAAGTGGTGAAAAGGCAGAACCCTAAATCCAAGAAGGGCTTCAACCAGGTAAGAGCTTTCCTCTCCTCTCTGTCATCCCCTCGGGAGACTTACTGGGCGTGTGCGTGCGTGTGCGTGTGTATGGGGGGGTGTCCAAGGGCTGTGCTGGGGCCTGTGGGTGGGAGGGTGCACACCTGTGGGGCTCCGTGGTGGCCTCCAGGGCAGCCCCGAGTCCAAGGCGGAGTGGCCTCTGTGTCAGGGAACCCGGGCTGTCACGGTGAGGACAGTGGGGTTTCTCCTCCCAGGACACTTGCTCCTTCCAGACTCAAGAAAGGGCAGAGGCTGGGGAGGAAGCGGGGCCCGATGGAGGGACCAGTCCCCTGCACGCCCATCGCGCCTGGAGCGCTGGCGGCCGAGCTCCTGCCCCACCCCCTGGGCCCCGTCAGGCGGTTCCAAGGGAGGAGGCTGGTAGCTCTGGGCCAGGGCTCCTGGCTGACCCGGGCCTTCCTTCTAGATTAGCACGTCGCAGGTCAAAGTGGACAAGGTGCAGATAATCGGCTCTAACGGCTGCCCCTTTGCCGTGTGCCTGGACCAGGACGAGAGGAAGATCCTGCAGAGTGTGGTCAGGTAGGAAAGCGGGGGCCCCCCGGCTCTGCTGCAGCACCCACCCAGAGGCCTGGAGGGAGCTGGAGGGGTGGGAGGCCTGCCCTGACACCTGCCCTGCCCCACAGGTGTGAGGTCTCCCCCTGCTACAAGCCGGAGACGAGCAGCCTCTGCCCCCCACCCCAGAGGCCCTCCTACCTGCAGGCGCAGACGGCACCCGACCTCTGCTCCCTGCTCTGTCTGCCCATCATGACTTTCAGTGGAGCTCTGCCCTAGCGGCCCGGCGCCAGCCTGGACAGCGAGCCCGGGGGCAGCCTCCTCGGAGCCCCTCCCTCTTGGAGGGCCTCGCTCCCCGTGGAGAACTGGACGACCCTATGCTGGGTCAGGGTCCCGCTGTGGGCCCTGCAGCAGGCAGGGGGCAGGGGTTAGGGGGTTGGTGGCGCCTCCGGGCTCTGTCTGGGAAAGAAACAGGCATTAGGGGGAGGGGCCTGGCCCTGCAGCCCCTCAGATCCCTCAGGTAGAAATGAGAAGGATGGGCGGGCCTGGCCTCTAGTGTGGTCTAGGATCCTTTCTAGAAGAAGGATCTGAGGCTCTGGTGCTCTGGGGTGTGGTTTAGGCCTCCTCCCCCAACCCTTGGCCAGGCCCACCCCTTACTTTGTCAGGGACTTGGGGAGCCCTTGGAGTCTGGGATTTCAGTCCCCCTACTCAGGGGTTCAGGTGGTAGAAACGCAGATGCGACTCTTCTGACCTCAGTGCCGTCGCCCCCCTCCCACGCCCCTGTCCCCCCCACACACACACACACACACCCCCTTTCTCTCTCTCTGGAGCCTCTTTCTGGATCGAGATCCTTGGGAGACAGGACGAGCTTAGATTCAGTGGCGGCTCAGTTACCTTCTAGCTAAATGACCAGAAGGAAGTGAATTAGCTTCTGCGAGCGTCCCTTTCCTGAGCGCTGAGATGGGGGATACAAGACCTCCTTAAAAGGCTGAGACAAAATTGTCTGCAAAGCGCCTGGCTCAGCCGCAGGCTCATAGCAGGTCCTCAGTAAAGGTCAGCGGCGTCGCCCCTCCAGCCCTGACTCACCTGTCGGGCGGGGGCTGGGGAGGGGATGCTCTCGCTGCTCTCGCGATGCTCTTCATTCCCTCCTTTCCAATTCACCGATGGGGCAGGACCCAGACCGAGGGGGTAAGGAGCCCTCAGTTCTACCCTCCGAAGGAGGAATTGCCTTCGCCAGGGTGAGAGGAGGGTTGCACACGTGCCTTCACCTCCTCGTCTCCCAGGTTGGCCCCTGTGCCCCACTTCCCACCTCACTCCATTGTGTGGGAAATCTTCCAGCCCCACAGTTCACTGGCACCATTGTGCCTGGGCAAGTTCCCAGAGGAGTAGAGGATGGACAGCTGAGGGGAAGACGGCTGATACAACGTGAGAGCCCAAAGTTTTAACTACGGGGTTGCAGTGGTTTGAGAAGCTGGAAGCTGATGTGGGCTAGGATGGTAGGCGGAGGGCGGGCCCAGGCCCGGGATTTGGACTCGTAGAGGTGGAGAAAGTCACCACGGAAGCGAGACAATTGTATTCCGCACAGAACCCCTCCTTCCCATCCTGCTCCGGCTTCATCTGCTCCGAAGGTTCTGGGCTTCCAGGAGCCCACGAAAGCCCAGCCCAGAGTACTCAGGACTTGAGAGAAGTGGTCAGAGCGTCTCTGACCACATGTGGTCCCCCGTCTGCTGTCAAGGCCATCTGTCCTTGCTTCAGGCGCCAGACAGTGGCTGGCAGTATACCTTCAATATTTTTTGTTGTGTGAGCTGGTTGTCTGAGAGTTGTTCAAGAATAGACGAGTGGAATTTAATATTATTGTCAAATAAAACTTGATTCCTCTTGGATTTAATGACTTAGTTATTTTCCCACCAGCTGGCTAGTTCACGTCAATCACTTCACGTAGAGTGGAAATAAGATTCTTGGGGGGTTGTTTTTATCTTTTTGTAATTTTCCTCTCTATCAAAAATACACTTGTGCCGAAATCTTCTGCGTAAGCCTCATCGTGCTGCCGAGAGGAAGGGAAGTGAGATCCTTGCTGACCCTCTGGACCTGGGGCTGTTATTAGACTTGGCTCACAGGTAGGGAGAGGAAAGGAGGTGAAGGGATGGTGGAGGACACCTGTGACCTGGGAGAAGTAGGGAAGCACCAGGCTTCCAGCACAACCACGTGGGACGGGGGAAGAAGGAACCGTGAGAGACTTCAGCTCTGTATCAGCTAGCTGTTGCAAACAGGAAAGCACGCCTAATGCTCGATGGACTACAGCTGTGATCATTTAGTCTTGCTCGTACATCTACAGGACATCTGGGGATCCAGGTGGCACTCAGAGTGGCTTGGCTCCAAGCTGCAGGTTGGGTTGAGGTCTGCTCTGTGGGTTCCTCGGGTACCTTGGGTCAGCATGTTAGCATAGGAGGGGTAAGCAGAGACATGTGATGCCTCATAGGGCCTGAGCCTGGAACTGGCACAGTATCTGTTCTGCCAACATTCATTCAGTTGGCCAAAATCGATGAAGGACATCAGCCCACAGAGTCAATAAGCTCGGGAAACCTCACACAAGAGAAAAATAAAACTGCATGAGAAGAGCACTGCACCTCTGATACTCTTTCCCAAACCCTGTGACCCAAGACTAATAATGAGGAAAATGCCAGACAAACCCAGATTTGGGGACATTCTACAGGATAATCTGACCAGTACTCTCTCCAGTGTCATGAAATACAAGGAAGGACTGAAAAATTCACAGACTGAAGGAGACCGAGGAAACCTGAAAACTAAGTGCAATGTGGGATCCTGAAACAGAAAGAGAATCTTAATGGAAAAACGGCTGAAATCCCAATGAAGTCTGGAGTTTAGTTTAAACACACACACACACACACACACACACAGAGGTACCTCCTTGTCAAACTTCTGAGGGAAAAAAGGTAATGAGAACATCTTAAAGACAGCCAGAGGAAAAAAATACACTTAATCTTCAAAGGAGCAACAACTAAACTGAGAGCTCCCTTCTCTACAGAAACAGTGGAAGCCAGGATACAATGAAATGCCATAGTTAAAGTGCTGAAAAGAAAAAAAACAAAACCTGTCAACTTAGAATTCTATACCTACAATTGTTCAATGATTTTTTAAAAATTATCCACTGCTCACAAGAGAAATGCTTTGAATGTAAGAACCCAGAAAGGCTGAAAGCAAAAGGATGGAAAGGATAACACCGTGCACACATGTCCCCAAAAGATGGTGGTGTTACACCAATATCAGACAAATATTTTAATGTCAGAAGCATTACAGAAGATGAAGAGGGACATTTTATACATTTAAACTATAAAGCAAAAATTGACAGAATTAACATCTCCACAACCATAGTGAAGGACTTGAACACATTTCTCTCAGTAGCTGATAGAACAAATAGACAAAAAAAAAAAAAAAATCAGTAGAGTTATAGAAGATCTGGACAACACAATTAACAAATTTGATCTCATTGAAATAGAACACTGTGCTCAACAACAATAGAATTCACATTGTTTTCAAGTACGAGTAGAATATCAAATTTCAAATGATTGAAACCAAACTGAGTATATTCCCTGACTACATTGAAATTAAACTATCAATAAGGTAACTTTTACTAGAAAATCCCAACTGCTTGTAAATCAGGCACTACATCTCTAAATAATCCAGGGGTCAAGAAAGAAAGAAAAGTGGAAACTAGAAAATATATTGAAGTGGTTAATAATGAGTATATGTTTTTGAAACTCACAGGATGCTTAAGCAATATTAGGAGAAAATTTATTGCCATAAAAAAGCATATCTGGGGCTTCCCCGGTGGCGCAGTGGTTGAGAGTCCACCTGCTGATGCAGGGGACACGGGTTTGTGCCCCGGTCCGGGAAGATCCCACATGCCGCGGAGCGGCTGGGCCCGTGAGCCGTGGCCGCTGAGCCTGCGCATCCGGAGCCTGTGCTCCGCAACGGGAGAGGCCACAACGGTGAGAGGCCTGCATACTGCCAAAAAAAAAAAAAAAAAAAAAGTATGTCTTATAATAGAGCAAAAGCTAAAAATCAGTTATTTACATCTCAGAAAGCTAGAGAAAGAATAGTAGATCAATCCTAAAGAAAGTAGAAGGAAGGAAATAAGTGTAATAGCAGAAATCTATGAATTAGAAAACCAACATACTAATTGAAAACCCCCTAACAAGACTGATGAGAGAGAGAACAAATTATCAATATCATGAATGAAAAAGAAGACATCTCTACAGATCCTATACATACTCAAAGGGTAATAAAGGGATATTATAGATTTACCAATGCATTTGGTAATTTGGATAAGACGGAGAAATTTCTCAAAAATACAGTTTGCCTATCTGACAGAAGAAATGGATATCCCAAATAGGCTAATAGAATTAAAGACATTGAAACCATTATTTTCTTAAGTAGACTGGCAGCCAATCATCTCTTTACTGTCTCCATAGTTACAGATTTTCCAGAATATCATAGAGTTGGAGCCATACAGTATGTAGCTTTTTCAGACTGGCTTCTTAGCAATATGCACTGAAGATTCCTCCATGTCTTCGTGGTCTCATAGCTCATTTCTTTTTGTTTGCCGAATGTTTCATTTTATCGATGTACCACAGTTTGTTTATTCGTTCACCTACTGAAGGACATCTTCGTTGATACCATTTTTTGGCAATTCTGAATAAAACTGCCGTAAACATTTGTGTGCTGGTTTTTGTTCGGACGTACGTACGTTTTCAACTCATTTGGGTAAATACCAAGGAGCACAATTGCTTGATCGTGTGGTACAAATATATTTAGGTTTTTCTGTTTTGTTTTGTTTTCTAAATGCCAAACTGTCTTCCAGTGTGGCTGGGCCCTTTTTTCATTCTCACCAGCAATGAATGAGCGTTCCTGTAGCTCCACATCCTTAGTAGCATTAGGTATTGTCAGTGCTATGGGTTTTATCTACTCTAATGGGTGTGTAGTGATATCTCATGGTGGTTTTTTTTTTTTTGGTGTTTTTTTTTTTGCGGTACGCGGGCCTCTCACTGCTGTGGCCTCTCCCGTTGCGGAGCACAGGCTCCGGACGCGCAGGCTCAGCGGCCATGGCTCACGGGCCTAGCCGCTCCGCGGCATGTGGGATCTTCCCCGACCGGGGCACGAACCCGTGTCCCCTGCATCGGCAGGCGGACTCTCAACCACTGCGCCACCAGGGAAGCCCCTCATTGTTGTTTTAGCTTGCAGTCCCCTAAAGACTATGATGTTGAGCGTCTTTTCATGTGTTTATTTGCCATATGTATATTTTCTTTGGTGAGGTGTCTGTTCAGATCTCTTGCCCTTTTTTTCTTTTTAACATCTTTATTGGAGTATAATTGCTTTCAACGGTGTGGTTTTGCCTATGTTTTAATTGAGTTGTTTCCTTATTGTTGAATTTTAAGAGTTTTTTATATATTTTGGATACCAGTCCTTTATTGGATATGCGTTTTGCGAATATTTTCTGCCAATCTATGGCTTGTGTTTCCATTCTCTTAACAGTGCCTTTTGCGGAGCAGATGGTCTTAATTTTAACGAGGTCCGATTTGTCAACTTGGCAACTTCCTCTGGGGCCCAGGCCATAGTGGTCTGGTACCCTCCTCAGACTTCCTCCTATGGTCCCTGACATCCGAGTCACGCCTCCTCCAGAGGGACGGCTCTCCCACAACCCCTGTGTCAAGGAACGCGTAGAGCCGCCTCAGTCTGCTCAAAGCAGAGGCATCAGAGAGTTTTCCAGCCCCTGCAGCTTCACCCACACGGGAGACGTGTGTGGACCTGGACGGCTTGGCACCTGCCCTGGGGCTTCAGACTTCCCTTCCCCCACTGTCATGCCCACCCCACCCTCACGCACTGGGAGGATGGCCGCTGCCCTGGGAAGAGGGATTCTTGGTTTTCTTGGGGAAGAAGCTACTCCCTCCTTTACCCAAGTCTCCGAATCCCTCTTTTCACTCCCCTAACCCTAACCAGCAAATCAGGGTAAAGGGAGCCGGCTCCCCTGGGAAGGAGTGCCCACCCCATCCCCCTGGAGCAAAGACAGGCAGCTGGCAGGCTATCCCCATCTGTGCCCTTTATTTCTCTCTGTCCCGGGCACCAGGCACACCTGTGTCCTGGGCCAGTCCACAGCCCCCAGGATCTCAGTCAGCTTGGGCTGCTATAACAAAATACCATAGAGTGGGTGGTTTAAACAACAGACATTTACTTCTCATAATTCTGGAGGCTGGGAAGTCCAGGGTCAAGGTGCTGCCAGGTTTAGTGAGAGCTCTCTTCCTGGGGTGCAGACAGCCGTCTCTCACTGTGTCTTCACAAGGTGGAGAGAGGAAGCTCTGGTGTCTCTTCCTCTTCTTATAAAGACGCTAATCCCATCATGGGGTCCCCACCCTCAGGACCTCATCTAAACCTAATTACCTCCCAGAGGTCCCACCTCTTAACACCATCACATTGGGGGTTCAACATACGAATCTGGGGAGGACACAGACATTTAGTCCATAATACCTGGCAATTCTGAGCATGTGGTCCCTGGAGAGGCGGCTGTGGTCACGGCAGCCACACACGTGTGCCCCTCTCTGCACAGGGCGAGTGGGAAGAAACAGGACCCATTCAGGGCATCTCAGAAATTTAGAGCTGGAGGCCAAGCCTCGGAGTCACTGCAGCCTGACCAGGTAATCTGCCCTGAACATCAAGGTAGCACAAACCGAGATACTAGCAAACACTGATCGTGCACGGGCCCAGCGCTGTCCACGTGCTTTACGTGCTTATGTCATCTCACTGATGCTTCCCGACGTCACCACTGTTACCGACCAGGGTTCCTGGACTCTTTAATCAATAGAAGTTG